CACTAGGCACCGTCTCATGACTCACACATACATTCATAGAACACAAAGTATAAAAAATCTTACCTCAAATATAGCATAGTAAATTTTAGATTAAAACCCACCTGGATACCGGAATATAGCCAACCCAAGCAGTTGAAGGAATAAAGGCAAAAGTTCGGCTCGATGAACCTACACCAATTACGATAGTCCTATCAACAGACTATTCAACACAAAACAACACACAAGCAACACACAAAGCAACACATACTTAGCCGAAACCATATCGACTAAGTTACTCGTGGATTCCTTGACCGAGTTAAGTACTTTGGAGTGACTACTAGACCTGAACACAACTCAAATACCTCAGATAATACACATAAATCATGCCAACGCCAATAAAATCCAACCTGAACCTAAAAAAAGGGACAACCGAGCATTAAGACACCAAAATAAACAAAATTCAGAATCTGGAGTTAGAGTCAACCAATCAACCTGAAACTTTACCACATCACAGGGCATACAAAAACACATAATCTCACCAAGTTTCAGCTAAAAATTCATTCGAAAGCATTTTTAAATGATTAAAGCAAAATACAGTGTCAAAACCCGACATTAATAGTTTATATAGCTACGCTTCGAATTTTAATCCAAAATTTTGACACAACACAGAATACCACAAAATAACACACTCCTCAAAGTGTCAACTCAAAACTCCTAGTGTACGATTTTAAATAAAATTTACAAGATTCTGACTAGAAACCGATTTAATTAATTAAAATAGCTACAGATGGAGTTTCGAGTTGAAAATTTTACACGACTTACATAATCATCACAGGACATCACATATAAAATTTCACATCATTCGAAGAAGTACACGATTTTTAGTGAATTTATTACGGTTCAGCAGCTAGTTCGGTTTATAAAAACTGTAACTCGCAATATATACATCGAAACGACTCCAAACTTGAACTAACAGCCCAAGGACGACTCCATCTACTTATAACTCTGGGAATTCCACGAAAAATACAAGTTCACTTCAGTTTCGGAAATAAACCGAAGCAACGAGAATAAGATGATACATACATACATGCTAATTAATAGAATAATCACATATACATTTTCAGCAATATAATCCAGCAACATCTTAGCATAAACAACTCGGCCAAATAAGCAATAAAGCTCGAGCTAAAGCCACGTAAACATAACTCAAAATTCCAGCATGATATACCATAGCAAATCCCAGCAAAATCATGAAGTTAGCCATAACACAACACAGTCCAACATATTTCAGATGATCAGAGCAAAACAACTCTCAAGCATACTCTTCTAAACTCATCGAACTAAGGCATGAATTCCTACATAAAAACTAAAAATTTAAGCACATTTAAGCCATCAAAAACTCGCCAAAAGAGCTAAAGTGCTCGGCCAGAAAGATACCTCTCGTCGGGACAAAAAAACAAAGAAAGAGGTTCGGGTCTTGGCTACAAGATATGGGCTCTCGTTTTTAGGAAAAAGGGGTCCGGTTCGCTGCAGCCTGGACACCCACACGTCCTCGAAAGCGGCTAGACTGCCGCTGCCTAAACTCCAGGTCGCAGCTCGGAACAATGGCGCCTCAGACCACGAATAGCCCGCTCTCGGATGGTGCTCAATTCACCGAAAAAAGAGTCCTTAGCCCCAACGGCTGGCTGGTGTTAGAAAAAGGCTAGGCTTGGCTAGGACTGTTACTCTTGACCACTCCTCCGTCCCTTGGTGCTCGAGTCTAACTCGTCGGCCGCTAGTGGCTCTGCGGCACTGCTCGTGAGGTGCTCGAGGTTCAGTCGCGAGGAACAAACAAACAAGACCTGCTACCCTCCGCAAGGAGTTGCACGGCGGTGGAGGATCGGCGACGACGGCTGAGGAACTGGTTGTCGCGAACAGGTCTCTCGGTGAGCGACTATGGTGCTTTCCGACATTAGGTGGTCGAAATACTTGGAAAAAGATTGTCGCGTTGATGATGGTGACGGCGATGATAAAAGCTTGATGATGGAACGATGGTGGTGAAGGAGATAGAACGAAAGTGAAGGAGAGATTATCTTCTGCTTGCGATCAATTTTTGGGAAGAGTACAATAAAGCTGCGGGATTAGGGATTCTCTGTTGATGGAGAGCAAGCGAGAGGGAGTAGATGAGGCAAAAGCTGTGCGATTTTATCTGCTAACGGTTTAACACAATTGGGCCAAAATTCATTTAACATAATTGGGCCAGAAATAACAGGAATTTGGGCATCAAAAAGAATTATTTAGAAGCAATGCTCGATTTATATAAATCAGCTCGAGGTTCGAAAATAAATTTAGACAACTCGAGAAATAAATCCAAATGGCCCTATATGCACGAGGGTTTCGTCAAAATAATTCGGCTCTCGGGCTCGATTTAATCGCACAATTAAATAAATACAACTCGAATAATTATTTACACATTATAATTAAATATAATACTTAGGCAATTAGACAAGTAGACATTTAGCAAATTATAATAATAATAATAATCAAAGAAATAATAATTAATAATAATAACAAGCAATTAGGCATTTAGCAACAATATTAATAATAATAATAATAATAATAATAATAATAATAATAATAATAATAATAATAATAATAATAATAATAATAGCAATAATCAATTAGGCAATTAAATGATAACAAATAATAATAATAATAACAGTAAAGATAATAAATAATAAACCCAATTATTCCATATTTAAATGGGGTATTACAGAAATTCATTAAACATGTTAAAAATTAAGATGAACATGTTACATAATAAGATGAATATGTTATATAATAAGATGAATATGTTAGATAACAAGATGAACATGTTACATACTGAGATAAACATGTTGCATTATGTGATGAATATGTTGCGTAATACATTGAAAATGTTACATAATAAGATGAATATGTTGGATAATAGGATGAATATGTTAGATAATACTCAGATGAACATGTTTCTTTATGATATGAATATGTTACAAAATAAGATGAATATGTTAGATAATACTCAGATGAAGATGAATATGTTGGATAATACTCAGATAATTTTTTTTTACCATTATGAGATAAATATGTTGCAAAATCCATTAAACATGTTAAAAATTAAGATGATCATGTTACATAATAAGATGAATATGTTATATAATAAGATGAACATGTTGCATTATGTGATGAATATGTTGCGTAATACATTGAAAATGTTACATAATAAGATGAATATGTTGGATAATAGGATGAATATGTTAGATAATACTCAGATGAACATGTTTCATTATGAGATGAATATGTTACAAAATAAGATGTATATGTTAGATAATACTCAGATGAAGATGAATATGTTGGATAATACTCAGATAAAAAAATTTTACCATTATGAGATGAATATGTTGCGAAATCCATTAAACATGTTAAAAATTAAGATGAACATGTTACATAATAAGATGAATATGTTATATAATAAGATGAATATGTTAGATAACAAGATGAACATTTTACATACTCAGATGAACATGTTGAATTATGTGATGAATATGTTGCGTAATACGTTGAAAATGTTGCATAATAAGATGAATATGTTGGATAATATGATGAATATGTTAGATAATACTCAGATGAACATGTTTCATTATGAGATGAATATGTTACAAAATAAGATGAATATGTTAGATAACAAGATGAACATGTTGCATTATGTGATGAATATGTTGCGTAATACATTGAAAATGTTACATAATAAGATGAATATGTTGAATAATAGGATGAATATGTTAGATAATACTCAGATGAACATGTTTCATTATGAGATGAATATGTTACATAATAATATGAATATGTTACATCCATTACGCTAAAACAGATCAAGGAACAATTACCTTTTTTAGCTAAGTTAAAGTTGAGTACGGGGATTTGGTGTTCGAGGTGGAATTTTGAAAAATGTATAATGATTTAGATTGATGTGGAGGTTAATGAATATGTTAGATAATAAGATGAACATGTTACATACGAAGATGAACATGTTGCATTATGAACCTGTAGATGAATATGTTACATAATACATAATACAATATAATAAGACGAGTAAGTTATATAATACATTAATATAATATAACAATATATATATTAAGCTGAACATGTTAAATACTAAGATGAACATGGTAAATACGATGAACATTTACCATTATGAGATGAATATGTTGCTTAAACCATTGAACATGTTGAAAATTAAGATGACTATGTTATACTATAAGATGAATATGTTAGATAATAAGATGAACATGTTAAATACTAAGATGAACATGTTGCATTATGACATGAATATGTTATATACTAAGATGAACATTGAACATTATGAGATGAATATGTTGCTTAAATTGCTTAAACAATTGAACATATTGAAAATTAAGATGACTATGTTATACTATAAGATGAATATGTTAGATAATAAGATGAACATGTTAAATACTAAGATGAACATGTTGCATGTATGAGATGAATATTTTATGTACAAAGATGAACATTTTGCATTATGAGATCAATATGTTGCTTAAACCATTGAACATGTTGAAAATTAAGATGACTATGTTATATAATAACATGAATATGTTAGATAATAAGATGAACATGATACATATGGAGATGAAGATGTTGCATTATGAGATGAATATGTTGCATAATCCATTGAACATGTTAAAAATTAATATGAACATGTTAAATTATGTGAAAAACATGTTACATACATGTTACATAATAAGATTAATATGTTATATAATAAGAGGTAGTGTTCTTGTTGCTTCATTTGTTGGTTATTTTTTTTTTTTTTCACAACATTCAAACCAGAAAATATATTAAGCTCACAAAGATTGTTTGTTTTACATCAACGACATATAAATAGATCTGGGTCTGGAAAGGCAAGAAAAAAAAACAAAACAGCCATACACCTTTACAATTGACATGGGAAACAAGTTTATAAATTTTCTTGCATAGCCATCTTGGCTAAACAAGCAAAAATTATACAAATATCCTTATCAAAAATAACACTACAAGAATGAACAGACGAGACAAATACTTGCATTCAACCACAGCTGCAGCTCTCATATCCCATGATTCCAAATTCCCACAGCACTAGATGACAGCTTACCTGTTTGTCCATATGGCAGGTCACATTTTTTTCCAGTTATTATTGGCTGCATATTCGAGTACCCAAAGAGCACACACAGTATAGGCCTCCACTGAACTTCCAATGAAGTCCCATACCTGTCAGTCCAACTCCTCAAACCTATCCTACTGTGTATGCATGAACCCCTTTCATTATCCTCACTCTTTTCACCTGACCTCTCACTCATCCCCAGCCGCCTAACATATAGCCTTGGTACTTCAACATTTCTCACATAAGTAAACATAATCCACTCATCCATAGTCCTTTTAAATAATTCTGTTTCCAGCACTTAACAGCCCTAAACTGAAGTAAGATATGATCAATATTTTCCTCACACTCCCAAAATACCTCACATACTATATCAAATTCAATTCGTCTCTTTTTCAGTTGTACCCTAGTCCCCACAAACTCATGGGAACATTTTCCGACTGAGGCATTACATCAAACACATAATGTGCTTTTAAGAATACAACAAAACCAACATATCACTAATCAATCGCTAGTTAACAAATCCACATCCTCACATCAAATCATTATTCGTAACAATCAATTACAATAAAAGGATACGAAGCCCAAGCAAAAATTTTCACCAAAACAACCTATGTTAATAACAGCACTACAAGGGTTTTGTATTATAAGCATGCCAAGAATATCAAAACATATTTCACTCTCCAAATAAAGTTACCTCAATGAATCGTGCGTGCAATTGCAATCTCTACATACAAAATTCTATCGACAAATTGCATATTGATCGTAAATCGTTCGAATATATGCTTGGGTAATAATACTGTTCTAATATTGACTCATGAGGAGAGGATGAAGGAGTTGGTCGGTTTGGTATGTAGAAGAACAATGAGAAAGAAGATGAAGTGGAAGAATGTTTGGTTTTGTCCATTTTCTTTTCCCAAATGAAGAAGACGAATTGGAATCTTAAAATATAATTTTAGGTTGTGATGAAATTGTTTTAAATTTGTAGGATTGTTATGTAATTTACACAAGTATGTGGGGGCTTGAGAATAAATAAAATAGGTACAAGGGGTACGAAGGGTATAATAGGTTTTTACAAGTACGAGGGGTACGAGACAGAATACAAGACTACCAAAATTCTTTTTTGCCTTGTACCCTTCAATCCATCGTTCATTGTCATATTTTAGTCAATCCAACGGTGAAATGGGGGGTTACCTGATGTTAGATAGGTACAACTAGGACCTGACTGTAGAAGATCCCAACTTTCTTTAATTTCATACGTGTTATTTATGTGGTATGATGTGGCACCCTTCTTTCCAAGTACACAACTATATATAGATAAAAAATAAATAAAAAAATCTAAAATTAAATAAATAATGAAGACACATAAGTAAAAAATAAAATAACAATAATAATAAATATGAAAAAGTTGAAAAAATCAATATTTATTAAATATGTATTAAAAATTATTAAATTTTTTGATATAGTTCGTAAAAATACATTAAAATATTATTAAAAATAAACTGGGCGAGAACCTTTGCTGCAGCCGAGTGCCAAGGACCCCAGCAGCAACCCAAGAGTCGAGAGCCACCAGCTGAGGCAATTGACCCGAGACTGAGCCCTTGTTCCTTTACATTTTCTTGAAGAAAGGTATTTTAGTATACTCGATTTATCCCTTTTCTAGCCGAGTTTATATAGTTTAAAATAGTTAAAGGAGCAAGAGCAGTGTTGGACTCGATAGGGCACGGCGCGGCGCGATGGTGGTCTGACGTGTCGTGGCTCATGGACGGCTGTCCAACGGGTCATGGCGGTCGGCTCTGAGGTTGATGAATATATGGATCACGGGGTATCGTATACCACGAGATCTTTTACTGTATTACTCAAACACCTAGTACCGGTAGAGCAACGGGAATATGATAAACCTCGAAGGAGAAAGAGAGAGAGAGAGGGAGAGAGAGAGAGAGAGAGAGAGAGAGAGAGAGAGAGAGAGAAAGAGAGAGAGAGAGAGAGAGAGGCATTCCTGTAAATTAGCACGTAGGGATTTTCTGATCTTTTCTGCTTCTCTTTTTCTGTGATCTTAATGATGTATATATAGAACTACTGTATGGATCTTAAGGAGAACAAGATTAAGGCTTCTTAAGTATTGGACTAATTGTGGGCCAAGCCCGCTCTTCCAATACTTAAATAATCAGTCCTCTAACGTAATATTATTGCACTCCCTTTCCATATCCCAAATTACGCTTGAGACTCTAGTTATAATTACCTGAATTACCTCCTTATGTTCAATATATGATGTCCATTAATTAATTCTATTACCAATAATCAAAAAATAATTAATATATTATATTGCCAAAGCTAGCGCTCGTTCATCGCATTATTATTATGCCGGAACTCAATCCATCTACAGGGTTTAGCATAACAATCCTTCGTGAACTCACTTCGGGGACATTATCAAACTAACGCACATGGTGACCATAAATATCCTAACAGCACATCATACATACAACAGTATTACCCAAGACAGTAAGTATATTGATCCAATGAACTGAATCTCACCAAAGTGAGTTAAGAGAGTGCATTAATTAACCGAGACTTAAGTTTGTTTACAATGATCAGCAAAACAAACTCTTACTCTCTGGGATCATGTTTAATACATAAATGTACTAGTGCAACTAATAAGTCAAGACCGACTCTACCATTTACACTACAACCGTTCCGATGGTGTGTTCACTTCCATCTAAGTTGTTAATCAATAATTCTTGTTTCGCAAGTGACTGATAAAATGATTCTGTTCACCTGCAAATGAACCATTTTATCTAAGTGCAAAATACATAACATAGACTTGTTTAATCAAACATGATCCTCATTCATAAAAGGCAAATGTTTAATATCACCCAAAGCCAAGATTTAGTGTATAACACTAACAATCTCCCATTTATACCTAAAGCTTTCACTTTTACAAGTATAGTCCTATCATTTCGTTATTCTTCTTATGTTGATCCTATCGCCATACATATGACTCTCATTCCTTCCATGTGTTTGAAGAAGACTTTTCCCGGAAAACACTTCATGAAAGGATCAACTAGGTTTTCCTCTAATGTAATCATGACAACCTCGACTTCTCCTCTTCCTACGGCATCTCATATCAAGTGGTACTTGCGCTCTATGTGTTTTCTTCCTCTGTGAGCTTGTGGTGTTGGTTTCGCCTGTACCGTACGGGCTATACGCAGCGGAATTTAAATTTTTTCAAAACAAGTATTTAACACTTAAGTACTTAACCCGTATATAAATATGGCGAATCAACAAATCGTCATCTTTAAAAACATGTAATAATACAAATTTTGATTTGTTACAAGTAATATCAAATATTACCTAATATGTCTTGAACTCCTTCAAAGACGACGGTAGTTGAGGAAATCGGTTCCCGGTTGAACAACGATCGCTTTGGGTTGCTCGCTTTAGGAATCCACGTGTCTTCCCTCTAAGAGTATCCACCGCTTGTATTCCAACACCGAGATGATCCTTCGCTAGTAGGAACTCACTCGATTTTATAACTTAGTATAGAAATATATATTATGAGGAGAAAATTACAAGAACTTTTCTTGATATTACTGTTGGGTTCTGTTAGGAACGTCAAACAATATGCACAGTATTGAACTTTATCGAAATAAATTCTAACGCAGCGGAATCTATAGTTAGGATATGGACGTTTACCTTTTAAAAATTTTTGCCGACTCTGAGACGATGTAGAGTACCGTTGGTGAAGTTCGTCTGAACACCACAACCTAATGGGCGAATAGGTTTGGCCTTTAGTTGATTCTAATCAACTCGTCAAACGGGTCACGAACGAATAGTGCACGGGTCTCGGTCGTCGGGTGGCAGCGGGCGATCGTGCGCGTCGGGCGCGGACAGCGTACGGGCAGCGTGCGCGAACTACTGGCGGGA